GGGTGTGCTCTCTGCAGAGAGAGAGAGAGAGGGAGGGAGGGAGGGAAGGAGGGAGGGGGAAGGAGGGGCAAAGTGAGAAATCACCTCCCCACCCCCACCCCAAAGGAGTTGGCTGTGCTGTAATCCCTTCTCTATTCTCCTCTTGGGATTTTGGGCATACACACACATACACCTGGCATGATTTTCAAGGCACTGTGTCTGGGACCCGAACTGAGAAGTCAGCCATGTGGGAACTATCCACCTTAACCTCTGTGCCATGTGCTAGCTCTAAGATGAGTTTATCTAAAAGAATATGGAGAGAGAGGCTCCTGTTTTTCTGTTCATTCAGCTAGCCTATATCTTTAGTTTGGGGAATTTAATTCATTTTTATTCGGTTGTATTGATATATAGGGATTTACACCTGCTCTTCTGGGTTGGTTTCTGGTTGTTTTGTGTTTTCTCATTTCCTCCTTCCATTTATTATGTTTATCTCTGCTATTTGGAAGTTTTTCATACTGGCAGAGATTGAATTAATACTTTTAATTATACATTTCTTTGATTTAGAAAATTTTAGTTATTTTATTTATGTGTGAATTGTCTGTATGTGTCCTTTGATCTTTTCCTGTAGGTTCTACTCTTATTTTCATTGATTTCTTTTTCTTTCTTTTTTTTGGTGGCATGTTATTTATTTACATTAAATCACTGTGTGTCATTACAGCATACCAAATTTATTTCTTATCCTGAATACACTGCATATCGGTTTAGTCAAAGATATTACCATACCCATTATTATCAACAATTAATTTTACATTTTTGTGTTCCTTAAATGTTTTGCTTCTCTTTTCTCCTTGATTCCCTCCCTCTCACCCTTCCCTGTTGCCCACCCTCCTCTCACCCTGTCTCCGTTAGCCCACATCAACAGTGTTGTTAAATTAAATGCTTATTGAGTGAAAATACTTTTTTTGAGAGATTTTTGCTATAGGGCATGTGCACTCATCAGAGAGACAAAATGAGAAATCACCCCTTGAGGGAATGGCCACTTTGCAATCCATTCTCCTCCATTTTTCTCTTGGGATTTTGGGTAAGCATGCACATGAGCCTGGTGTGAGTTTCAAGCTGTGTCTGGGACTTGAACTGTGGTCAACCACATGGAAGTCCAGCACCTTAACCACTATGACACATGCTCACCCTAAGCGGAAATATTTTTTAAAAATCTTGATCACTTGTGGTTTTTTCTCCCTCTTTATACTTAAAGTGTACTTAACTTTAGAAACAAAATATATATACTGTAAAATTGTCCTTGGCATGAAGATGCCAAGTGATGGGAGTCTTTGTTTATTAAGTAGCACTCTAGGCCTGAGTCTGAGTCCGTCTGTGGGGGGAGTGTTTGATGGAAGCTCTAGTGATTTATCCCGGATTCTTTAGAACCTGTCCTTGTGTTCCCATGGAAACAGTGTGAGGGACAGATGGCCGTGTCCTGGTAGAGCTGCTGCAGCCACCCTGGAAGGTCCCAGGCCCATGCCCAAAACCTCCTGCACCTCCAGCCTGTGTGCACATGCTTTGTTTAAAAAAAAAGACACAGGGCTGGGCAGGCTGAGGCTGCGGGGACCGTCCTGTGAGGACATTGCTGGGAGGTGCCCTGCCCTCTCTCTCTCGTGGAAGACAGAAGGAACTTAACACAACGTGGTGTTAAATGAATTTACCAACAGTCAAGCTCTGTTATTTGGTCTAAGTTGTGTGCATTGGCATGATACTATTGATACAAATAAAAAAGGCAAATTGCTTAAGGTCTCTGATTTCTCTGACAGTCAGATCTGCTCAGGACTCTTGGACAGTTCTTTCAGGGAGGGAAGAGCCTGGCGGAGTGTTTCTGAGAGTCTGAAGAAATGCGTGTACCCCATTACCCAGACTCTTCCTGTCTGGGTTCAGAAACTTAATAGGCAGATTTTTAAGAGAAGTCCCTCGTATCTGAATGGTTGCTATTTGTTGTCTAAGATGATAGTAATTGAAAGTATCCACCTCAAATACTGAAGTCATGTGGGAGGCGAACACCTGTACGGGCCATGCTAGCTGCACTGTGTCATGGGCCACTCCAAGGGGAGGAGAGATGGAGATGAGTACCCGAGAGTCTGGGAAGATGCGGTTCCTCGCGCTGAAAGGCAGCACGACTGCCACAGTGCTGAGTGCACCTGGGCTGACGGCTTGGGGCAGGGGCTTGTCCCCTCCAAATGAGTTTGTACGAGCTTGGGGTGGGTGGGGGGATGAGGGGGGGTCAGCAGGTGGTTAAGGTGCTAAACTCCCACATGGCCGACCACAGTTCGAGTCCTGGACCTGGCAGCTTGTGTTCTCTCGCTCTGGTGATTGCATGTACCCTGTAGCAAATTTAAAAATAAATAAAATTATTACTATTTTTTTTAAAAAGGTTACTTTGTTTAAAAAAAAAGAAAAAGAAATTAAGCTTGTCAGGGCCGGATGTTAGGGTTTCCACAGTCAGGAGGTGGCTTCACTTGCCTGCAAAGAACAGTTCAAGACTCAGGAAAATTACTTTATTTTGTGAGTATTTGTTTTCTGAGGTAGTTAACTGAACCACTATATAAATCTTAAAGATGTTTGAGGGTTATCTAGTTTCACCTCCTCATGTTCGAGATACAGAGCACGAAGGAAAACGCCTCCAAGCTGACTCTGCTGTGGGAGCGGTCAGGCCCGGTTCATTCACTCGTACTCCCTGACGCCGCCCTGTCGGCCACGGGCACCAACTGCACCGCCGGGGCCTCGCGTGGAGGGATTCTGAATTTAAAGCAGGTGGTGAAGGAGACGCTCGTGGCTACTTTAGAGAAGGACTGAAGAGCCACAGACTCTCTTGTCAACCCTGTTGAGCTTTTAGATTGACGTGACCCTGAGTTGAGGAGTTTGAAATTTTCTTATTCACTGTGAATTCAGTGTAGACACGTAGACTTTACCTGCTATATGCTTCTCTTCTTCAGGTGAGTAGCAACATTTTGCCCATCTATTTAGATTAATATCTAACCTCAACAGGTGAAAAGCTTATTCTTTTTAATCAGAAGCCACTGCAGAAACCTGACAAAGAAATCCGTCATGTCCGCTCAGAGCTGCAATGGCCATGTCGGTTTCTTTGATTCCTTTCCTTCTGGCGCAGCCCTGCGGGAAGGGGGTGCAGCGCCCGCGGTAGCTACTTACGGTGCAGTGCAGCCCT